TGCAGCCGTCATTGTTGTTTGGCGGGTCCGGGCTGGGGATTCGAACCCGCCACCTTAGGTGTACGTGGCTGGCGCCTTAGCCAGTTGAGCTATAGGCGCTGAGCCTTTCAGTTTGTGTTTTAAAGAAATTTTACCCCAAATACTCAGAATTCCAAGGCAAAACTGATTGGAATCTGGTTCTATTATTTTTTAATTATCATGGATACATAATAGTTGTATATATTTGTAGAGAATATGTGATGTTTTGATACAGTTATACAATGTATATTAATCAAATCAGGGTACCAGGTATCCATCACCTCAAGCATTTATCACTTCTTTGTGCAGGGAACATTCCAATTCCACTCTTATTTTAAAATATACAACAACTTATTGACTATAGTCACCCTACCATGCTATCAAATATTAGATATTGTTCATTCTATCCAGCCATCCTCCCTTATTGTCCCTTTCCTGCCTCTGGTAACCATCATTCTATTCTCTATGAGATCAGTTGTTTTAATTTTTAGCTGCCACATATTTAACATAAGTGATAACATGCAAAATTTATTTTTCTATGCTTGGCTTATTTCACTTAACACCCAGTTCATCTATGTTGTTGGCCAAGTAATATTCCATTCTGTATATGTATTAAATATTTCATTGTATGTATGTACCATATTTTCTTTATATATTCATCCCTTGATGGACATTTAGGTTGCTTCTAAATCTTGGCTATTATGAATGTTGCTGCAATAAACATGGGAGTGCAGATCTTTTTTTTTTTTTTTTTTGAGACAGAGTCTTTCTCTGTCACTCTGGGTAGAAAGCTATGGAGTCAGCGTAGCTCACAGCATCTCAAACTCTTTGGCTCAAGTGATCCACTTGCCTCAGCCTCCCAGGTAGCTGAGACTACAGGCATCCACCATGATGCCTGGATGGTTTTTCTATTTTTAGTAGACACACGGTTTCACTCTTGCTCAGGCAGGTCTTGAACTCCTGAGCTCAAGCAATCTACCCACCTCACCTTCCCAGAGTACTAGGATTATAGGCATGAGCTACCAGACCCTGACCTCAGATATCTTTGGATACATTGATTTCCTTTCTTTTGGATGTATACTTAACAGTGGGATTGATGGATCATATGGTAGTTATATTTTTAGTATTTTGAGGAACCTCCGTGCTGTTCTCCGTAATGGTTGCACTAACTTACATTGCCACCAACTGTGTATGAGGGTTCCCCTTTCTTCACATCCTTACCTGTATTTGTTATTGCCTGTCTTTTGGATAAAAGCCACTTTAACTGGGTGAGATGGTATCTCATTGTGGTTTGGTTTGCCTTTCTCAAACATGATAGTAAGCATTTTTCATATACCTGTTGACTACTGGCCATTTGTATGTGCTCTTTTGAGAAATGTCTATTCAGATGGTTTGTCCATTTTTAAACTGGATTATTTGATTTTTTTTCCTAATTGAGGTGTTTGAGCTTCTTATATATTCTAGGTATTAATTCCTGGTCAGATGGGTAGTTTGCACATGTTTTCTCCCATTCTGTGGGTGAATTGTCTCTTCTCCTTGTTTGTTGTTTCCTTTGCTGTGCAGAAGCTTTTTAGCTTGATGTGATCCCACATTTCCATTTTTGCTTTAGTTGCCAATGCTTTTTAGTATTACTTAAGAAATCTTTGCCCAGACCGATGTTCTGGAGTATTTCACTGATGTTTTCTGCCAGTGGCTTCATAGCTTTTAGGTCTTAAATTTAAGTTTTTAATCCATTTTGGTTTGATCTTTAACTATGACAAGAGATGGGGTCTAGTTTCATTCTTCTGCATGTGAATATCCAATTTTTCCAGCAGAGACTGTCATTTCCCCAATGAAAGTTCTTGGCACCTTTGTTGAAAATAAAGCCGCCATAGACGTGTTGATTTATTTCTGTTCCATTAGTCTATTTGACTGTTTTTATGTCAGTACCTTGCTGTTTTGGTTATTACAGCTATGTATTATAATTTGAAGTCAGATAATGTGATTCCTTCAGTTTTGTTCTTTTTGCTCAGGATAGCTTCGGCTATTCTGGGTCTTTTGTGATATAATTTTTTTTATTTCTATAAAGAATGTCATTGATAGTTTGATAGGGATTGAGTTGTGTAGGATAGAGCATAGGGTTAAAAGTGCTACGCACTAGGAATAGGGTAACCTGGGGAAAAGCCGAGAATCACTGCTGACCAGGAGTACTGAAAACAATACTCACCAGCCACAGCACACTGTCCCAGTCCTAAGTCATATATTAGCAGTGATAAGACTAATGAAAGACAGAAGAGCAGTAACAGGGTGTGTTCAGTCATGCAGTTAAAAAAAACTACTTGTTTTTATAACCTTTACTTCTATTTGAAGTTTTCTGCTGTGCTATATTTTCTCATGCCTGAGATTTCAATAAAAGACAGTGAGGAATGTTGGAGGGGGGCCCTACCCTTGTTTTTCCTTGCAAAATGCTTGCTGGTATTGGCCTCTGCATGTTCCTCAGTTCAACACAAATGAACTGTGTATGTGTTACTCATTTGCATTGAGTTGGATAAGATGAAAAAATTCCCTGGATTACCAGGCCAAGTCCCCCACTCCCTTCCCTCACTTTCCCTCAAACAGAAGCAGTTTCATCCCCTATGCTAGGTTGCCTGCAGCTGGGGGAGAGGTAATACAGGTACTCCTGTGGCTACCAAGCTGAGTACTATGCTGGGTCATACTCAAAGCTAGCACTATATTGGGTCTTGCCCAAGGCCTGGGTTGACTTTGCCTGGCTACTTTTGATATTTATTCAAGGTTTAAGGGCTTACTAGTCAGTAGGCTCCGGAGTGAATCCTGCCAGGACTGGGTCCTTCCTTTCAGGGCAGCAGGTTCTCTTCTGGGTGGGTTTAGAATTTCTGCCCAGGACTAAAGACCTGGAACTGGGATCTTCAGGACTCTGCCTGGTTCTTTATTTTCCTATGGTTGAGTTGGTGGCTCAGTTGCCAGACAAAGTCTGCTGTACTCTTCCCATTCTTTTCCCCAAGCAGAAGGAGCTTCTCCCCCAGCTGAACTGCTTGCAGCTGGGGGAAGGGATGACACAGATACTCCCTTGAGAGCCATTGCTAGTGTTTTACTGGGCTTCAAGCACAGTACAGCCTCAGGACTTACCCAAGGAGTATAGTCTTTGTGGTTTGACTTCCTTTCAGATTTATTCTGAGGTCCAGACCATTTTCATCAGTTGGTGGAGCTAGCCAGAACTTAGATTCCTACTGCTGGGACAGAGGATTGCTCCCTGGCTGAGGCAGTCTAACTGCTCCCTCCGGGGGCATAGACAGAATTCTGCACTGTGGTTGGTCCCCTGTGACAGGGCAGCACTAAATTCCAGTGCAAAGTCCAGTGATCACTCCACCTTCCCTCTCCCAAGCACACAGATTCTCTCTCTCCACCCAGCAATGGTGTTAGGTGCTGCTGGGGGACAGAGGAGAGGTGGCACAGGCAGTGCAAGACTATCTGTCTTACCCTCTTTGATGTCCCTTTCCTCGACATAATGTTATAAACCAAATACTGTGACTGCTCACCTGATTTTTGGTTCTTCTGAAGGTGCTTTCTTGCATGGATAGTTGTTCAGTTTGGTGTTCATGCAGGGGGATGATCACTGGAGCGTCCTATTCAGCCATCCTGCTCTGTCTCCCTCACTCTATCATTTTTCCTTTCAGCAGTTTCTCACATTTTCTCACATTTTCCGCAGGTTCTCCTCCTTCACTGTCACCTTGACACTAATCCCTTGCTTTTGGCAAAGTTTCCTTTCTTGGTTTCATGATTTTGGACTCGCTTGTTGCTAAATCCCTGTGCCAAGCCTCTTGCCTCATTAAAGGAAGACGTATATGGATGATTTGCCTTTTCTTTTCCCTTGGCAGACTCATTCAATTTGGCTTTAGCTATCTCTTCCGTGGATGGGTTCCTCATATGCTGAATCATGGCAAAATCTACTATGCCTTACCTTTATCCTCGAAATTATTTAGGATTAGGTTTGGCTGTCAGTTACAGAAAATTCAAAGTAATAGTGAACTCAACAATAGAAGTTAATTTCATTCACAGCAGGGTCCTAGAATGGTATGGCTGCTCCACAGTCATCAGGGACCACAGTTCTATCTTTTGCTCTGCCATCTTCAGTACGTGGTTTCTACCTCTTGGTCCAAGGTGGCTGCTTGATTTAGCCATCACATCTGCATATCTGCCAGGAGGATGGAGGAAAGAGAAAGAGAAAGGCATACCCAATCCGTTAAGGATTCTTTCTAAAAGTTACATGTACCAAATAGACTTCTAACTCATTGGCCAGAACTTGATGCCTTAGCAGACCTTATTGAGCAGGTGGAAGAATTTAGTCTTAATGTGGGCAATTATAAATCCAGTTAAAAACCAGGTGTTTTAGTACTTAGAAGATGGAGAGGAATGAATATTTGAGGTAACTAGTAGCCCCTGCCCACAACTCCTAGATAATTTCTCCTTTAGTTTTTGTTATATGACAGATGGAACGTAACTTCATTCCCCTCTGAAATTTACCAAATTCCAAATTTATACAAACATTATGGAAACATCACTGTCTTTGTACATTTATTACAATCCTCATCTTAGTGTCCCTTATGTGATAAATTGTCTTTATAAAATAACTTCTTTCACTTGCATAGAAGATGTATAATAATGTTTTTAAATTGGTTAGTGGTGATTCTAAGTGGTCAAAGGTGAGGCACAGCACAGGAAAATAAGGTCTTAACTTTTTTAAAAGAGAGATCCATTTAATCAAGTCAGTGCTTAATTCACAGTAGACACATATGTGTATATTGTTGAAAAAATTAGTGAAAGCTTTAATAAGTATTGACAGTTTTTATCCTATGTTTGTGTGTAATTTTTCATTGTTAAGAAAGGAAAAAACTCTGTGATGGTAGGAATTTCATTCTAATTTGCTTCTTGTAACTTTTTTTTCTTTTAGTGCCGCTGTACTCCAAGGTATAAAAGAGGGACTACAAAAAGCTAAAAGCGACCAGACAGTAAAAGCCATTGTGATTTGTGGAACTGAAGGGAAATTCTCTGCAGGTAAATCAGGTCTACCTCTCCCCCACTATTTCTGGAATCCAGCCACAGATGAAGATCAATATTGCATTAGCTATATCCCTGTGGCTCGTAACTTAGTGTGGGTAACGAATATGGGAAAATTGAATAGAAATGAGAAACATTGTGGGGAACAAGACAGGAATCACAAGAGAGACATGGAAAAGACTTGGCCTTAGTCTCTTTTATATTGCTGTGGGGCTTTGGAGAAAATTTAGTTCCAGGCTTGATGGCTGTTATAGCTGCGGGTAGACACCTGCTCATACATACATGCTCTACATGTATCTGGATCCTATACAAGCTCAGGCAAGTCTTTAATCTCTTGAATCTTGGTTTCTCTGGCTGTTAAACAGCAATAATTATAGCAATAACTAAAGAGTTTTGTAAGATTAAATGAAATAGTACATCTGTAAGATTCTAGTGTAGTATATGTACAAAGATGTTCGATAAATGCTTTTAATTAATGCAGAGTCCTAATATGGAATTCATTTTTCTTATAGTCACCCATCTTAGTGAACATGGCACTACTTTATTGGATTATTATGTGAAGATGCAAAAATATTGACAAAATACAACATAAGTATTCTGAAATGTATTTGTTCAATGATAATTTTCTTTTCCCAAATGAATATGGTATACTTTTTGACTAAAGTCATGTGGATGTTAGGATCTATTCAATCTTGCTATGGCCAGAGAAATTTAATGTGTGTTAATGATAACCCAGAAAAACATACAAATTTTAGAATCATGGCAATAAATAAATATAAAAATATTAATCATTATAATTACCATTCATCTTGCCCATTATCTGTCAGCACTAATTAATAATGAAAATAGTAGTAATTTTATACTTTATATATATATTTTGTTTGTTTGTTTGTTTGTTTTTGTTTTTTTTTTGAGACAGAGCCTCAAAAAACCTTAGCCACTTGTGCCACAGGTGCTGAGCCTTATTTTATATTTTTAATCCTCAAATTCTCCAATCCCCATTTACAGATGAGAAAATTAAGCCTGAGAGATTAAAATAATGTGCCAAATATTAACCAGCTATGAAGTGGCATATTCACCATTTGGAAACCTAAGGTTGGGTACCCAAGATAGTGGCTTTGAGGCATGGAAAGAGGGATCAGAGTAATGGAGAGCATGATACTTATTTATAAAGGAGGAGGTAGAAGAAAGAGTGTAATTACAGTTCAGAGGTAGAAAAAAGTAATTCTTCTAGAAAAGATTAGGGATTATCAAGCTTGACTTAATGTACTTATACAGATAAAGTACCCCCAAATTGGAAAATATACATTCTTGTGAAATGTATTTGGAATGTTGCCAAAAATTAACCAGATAGTGGATGATAAAAGTTTAAACAAATTACATTTAGAGTCTATTCTCTGACAACAATGCAATTAAGCTAGAGTTCCGTGACAAAAATATAACTAGACATTCTTATGTGTTTGGAAGTTAAATTCATTTCTTAATAACCTAGGAGTCAAACAGAAATCTTGGAATTCAGAAAAAAATTGACCTGAATGACAATGAAAACATAACATAAAATTAGAGGGATGCAGCTAAGTAAAACTTATCAGAAAGTGTATAGCTTTAAAAGTATATATTAGAAAACGTTGTGGGAAACGTAGTGAACTCAGCATCTATGTCAAGGAAGCGACAAAACAAGCAGGAAAATAGACCCAGATAAAGTGGGAGAAATGAAATAATAAAGAGGAAAAATTAATGAAATAGAAAAACATTGAAATGAAGAACAATAGGCTCAGCGCCTGTGGCTCAAGTGGCTCAGGCGCCAGCCACATACACCTAAGGTGGCGGGTTCGAATCCAACCCCAGCCCACCAAACAACAATGATGGCTGCAACCAAAAAATAGCCAGGTGTTGTGGCAGGCACCTGTAGTCCCAGCTACTTGGGAGGCTGAGGCAAGAGACTCACTTGAGCCCAGGAGTTGGAGGTTGCTGTGAGCTGTGATGCCACGGCACTCTACCCAGGGAGACAGCAAGAAAGAAATGAAGAACAATAATGTCAAAAAGTCTTTGAGAGAGACTCTACCTAACAAATGTAAATATTGTAACCTACTTACTTGTATACTCACATTAACCTGAAACACACAAAAAAGCTTCTTTGAAAACACTCATAAAACCAACAGACTTCTAAAGAGATTGATCAAGGGAAAAAGGCGAACAAGGAATGATAAAGGGATAAGGGATATCACTGCAGATGCTGTAGCCACTGTAGCCACTAAAAAAGAAAATGAAGATATTATAAACTACTAAAAAAAAAAAATTCCCAAACTTGACTCAAGAAGAAATCGAAAATTCAAAGAGTTCTGTAGCCATTAGTGAAATTTAATCAGTAATGAAAAATCTCGCTAAGTAAATTCCACACCCAGATGACTTTATTGGTAAGCTCTACTGTAAAGTCAAGGAAAATATTCCAATTTTACACAAACATTTTATAGACCCAAAAATAGCTTAAAACAACAGAAATCTATTCTCTTACAGTTCTAGAGAGTAGGCGTTTGTAATCAAGATCCCAGCAGGGCCATTCTTCTTCCAAAGGCTTTAGGGAAGAATCCTTCCTTTATTCTTCTAGCTTCTTGTGGTTGCTGGCAATTTTTGGCTTATAGATGCACAACTTTAATCTTCAGTTCTATCTTCACATGGCCTTCTCCCCATATATCTGTGTCCAAATTTCCCAGGTCTTTTTTTCTTTTTTGAGACAGAGTCTCATATAAGCCTACCCTAATCCAGTATGACCACATCTTAACTAGATTACAACTGCCAAGACCTCATTTCCAAATAAGGAGACAGTCACAGTTTGAGTGAACACCTATTTAACCCAGTACACTTCCCAGCTCATTTTGTGAGGCTTGCATAACCTTAATACCAAAGCCTGACAAGGATGGTAGGGAAAAGCAAAATTATAGGCCAATTTCATTCCTAAACATAGATGTAAAAATCTTAGGGTATTGTGAAACTGAATCTAAAAATATATGAAAAGTGTAATGCATCACTTTTGTCCTACAAATACCAGATTGGGTGAACACTAGAAGATCAGTGTAATTTAGCCTATTTAAAAATTAAAGAGAAAAATCATATGATTATGCCAAGAGATAGAAAAATATATATTTTGGTTAGGTATGGTGACTCATCCCTATAAACCTAGCACTTTGGGAGGCTGAGGCAGGAGGATCACTTGAGGCCAGGAGTTTGAGACCACCCTGAACAAGAGTGAGACTCTCATCTCTACAAAAAATAGAAAAATTAGCCAGGTATAATCCTAGCTACTTAGGAGGCTGAGGAAAGAGAGCCCCTTGAGCCCAAGAGTTGGAGTTTGCTCTGAGCTATGATGATGCCACTTCACTCTAACCAGGGCAACAGAAAAAGACCCTTTATCAAAAAAAAAAAAGAAAGAAAGAAAGAAAAAGAAAATTTCTAAGTAGGGCATGGTGGCAAGTACCTATAATCCCAGCTACTCAGGAGGCTAAGGAAGGAGTATCTTTTGAGGCCAGGAGTTGGAGACCAGACTGGGCAACATAGCAAGACTCTGTCTCAAAAAAAACCAAACAAATTCTTAGTAAACTAGGGAGAAAAAGGAAATTTCTTAACCAGGCAAAAGATAACTATTTTGAATAGCCTACAATGAACATAAACAAAATGGCAAATTGAAAGATTTCCTTATGAGAAAGGAACAAAACAAAGCTGACTGCCTTCATCATTTTTACTTGATATTGTATTCAAGGTTCTAGCCAGCCCAGTAAGGCTAGCAAAGAAGTAAGAGGTGTGAAATTGGAAAGGAAGAAATAAAACTTCATTATTCAGAAGATATGACAATGTAGGTAGAAAAATCAAAATAATTTATCAGAAA